GCCTTCTTATCATCAACTTCCTGAGTAGCTTCCTCAAAAAACTCCAACAGATTTGTTAAACAGGATCTTGCTCTCCTAAATCCATGCTGGCTATCCCTCAAAATGGATTTTGGAGAGGTAGATCCTGTTTAACAAATCTGTTGGCACCGCCGCTAAGTCTGGAGAGCGTGGATCTGAATATCCAACCTAAAGCTGACACCCCGTAGCTATTCATTCATATATTAAGCCTCTGAATGAATGCTCTGGTCTGATCAAAGCAACCCTGAACACCCTGCCCAAGCTCTTTTTCCCCGTCCTCCCCACCAGATTGCCCAGCAGTAAACTTTCGTCTACCCTCTGCTGGACGCGTACAATCGTAAACAACCAGGACGAGCATGAAGGGATTGAATTAGATCCCAAAAAGACTGAGTTCAACGGAGGTAAGAGGCAAGTCGCCAAGCTTCTGCTTAACTCTCTGTGGGGTAAAAACTCACGCAGTGAAACAATATGCTCCAAACATATATAGTGTCTGACCTGCGTGTGGTTTTTTTCTGTTCGGAGCTGTATGAGATTTAAAATTTCATCTTTATGAATGATGAAGTGGCTCTTGTCTGCTGACATCACAAGTCTTCCTATAAACTCAATTCTGGAAAGACTAACATGAGATATCCATACAGCCTGTCAAACTACAGCATGAGGTTGGCTAATGCTTTACACATAATTGGAAAAGTTATGTGACAGGGTACAACGCCATCTACATCAGCAGGCCAGGTGAATATGACCAGCCCTTAGGGAATTTTCTGGTGGAGCTTACATCGGGACCTGTGAAAAAGAAGCACAAGAGAAAAGTTCACACACTCACGACCCTTACCTCACACACCCCCAGCTTCTGCCCCAGAATATCTTATATGGCTTTTAAATGATACCCCTAATGGTCAGTGGATAGATTACAGTGATTCGATTTCAGTGATTACAGTGCCTGAAAAGAAAATGCTTCTAACGCCAAAAAGATGGTTAAAAAAGGAACATTTTATTGAAAAAGCAGTGTCACGGTTTTTCTTTTTTTTATATTTTTATTTATCTATCTACATTTATCTGACAAGTACAACACTCTTTAAAAAGTTTTGAGGAACAGACATTTAAAAAAAAAAAACACAGTTAATGCACTTTGAATATTTCTTAATGAACTCGGATGCTAGACCATCGTTTTTCCTTAAACCGTCACAGTACAACCCCAAAGTCTCTTGAAATGACAGTCCCTTGAAGCGGTGCCAGAGGAAGAAAGCAGTGTTTGTCCTGCCTGTGGAAGAAAGTCGTCTTGAACTTGACGCATATTATACCGTATTTCGGTAGTGTGCCTCCCTAAAGACTACATATAACTTTTAGGGTAGTAAGGAAAATGGGGTGGAAATTAACCGTAAGAATCGAAAACGGAAGCTTTCCCCTCTTCAGGCTCCAAGGAGGGTAACAGATCACTAGGCCTCACCCCCCCAAGAGGGGCTGTAATAGGCATTCCAGATACAATGCGATACGATATGTGACTGACTTTATAGTCAGTCATAAACTGAAATTCTTATTGCATCCCTGGGTGGCTTATTTAAGACAAAGACATATCTAGACGTATAACAAAAGAAAAAAAAACTTACATGTGACATCCCCACGACATACACAAATACAAATCCCCATAACATGCACCCCATAACATGTTCATGAATTAAAGTTCACTAAAACCTGTCTCTTGAAGTTTATCTCAATTACACAGCGTAGATGATGAGACTCATCTTTTGGTCCAGCAAGGCCCTGAACCATAAATCCAGACAAGTGAGAGGGCACTTCCTCCCAGCTCGTCATGTCGGTAGAGACTGAGAGCAAATAGCAAGTAACTGTTCTCTCAAAATCCTCACGGTTAGTGCATAGCGCGGAATCCCTTAAATGTTGGTTTGTAGCCAGAAAAAGGTTCTGAAACTCTCTGACTGACTGGTGCTTGGTGAAATCGGGTTGGAACGGTTTGCTCGGTATGTGCTGGTCGTTCACGGAGAGGCTCAGAAATTCCAGGTTTCTGTTTTGTTTCCCCACAGAAACTGCACAAACGATGTAATGTGGTAAGTTGCTGAGGAAAAGATTGTCCTGCAGGCAGGCTCATGAATGTGTCAGTAATGTATAGTTTTTAATGACTACCCTGCTTATGGGGTACAGGGCTAAACACTTTTAGCCTTTACAAACTTTAAGCGTATGTCCACATTGCTGCCCCGTTGGCTCTGGTGATACTGAGCCTTAGATATAGCAATGTAGAGTTCAGGTCCAAATATGAACCACACAACCTGACCCTGGTATTAGAAAATCCATGAACCACCGAATCAAAGTGGATGAATAGGTAATTCCTCTAAGGCAGGAACAGGCAGGGGTGATTTCTTTGCCTGGGGTGGTTCACCACACAGCTGGATCAATCTTTCTCCAATTGCCTTCTGATGACTTCACCCACGAACGCTACTATTGCTGCCTTTATACAAGCCAGCATCCCTCAACAGTTTGCCAGACTGGAAACCAATCTGCAGGCCCCCGTCATCGTCTGCTCTTTCCACTCAGTGGCCGGTGATACGGGTGGTTGTGTGGGGGATACCTCCAATACCACACTCTCATCAACCGACGACATCTGATGGTGAGGAAGGTACGAAAAACTATCCACTTCATATAGTCGGTGAGGGTGGTGGGTGTGGCGATCATCACATTTAAATTTTTGTTTAAAATTTAAAAGTGATGATCCAAGGAATTGTTGAGGCCATTTTGTGCAAGCTAAGGGGTCGATTCTCCCCTGCACTTCATTCAAAAAAAAAAAGTGTACCAAATTTTGTCTGGAAATTGCCAAGTACCTTGCCTTTCAGAAGGTATAAGACTTGTTTATGCATTATGCTGAGAAATGGCCTGTCAAACTTGACAAAAAACATAGGATTCAAAGTGCATTCACTTAAAAATGGTGCAGTAGAAGTTGATGCAGAAGAAGAAAGACAGGAGTTAACTAAACCGTCAATGGAATGACTCCATGTTCAAGAATAAGCACCGCAATGGCAAAGAGAATTTATTAAAGTCGTACCATAGCCATTACACAGTGAGTAGAGCCGGGCAGATGTGGCACTCTGGCCAGAGGACCAGGACATAGTGACAAAGGAGGATGTCATGGCAGGACGAGGGCCCAGCGGTTGATGTTCATCATGGCTCCATGTGACAGCCAACTTGCACCCCCCAGGACAGAGTACCGCACCCCCTGAAATGCTAGACTTTCCCCAACAATAATTCATCCTGGAGCATCACAGACAAAAGTTAGTAACTGGTTCTATGGGTTAGCGAGACCCTATGTTAATACATGACAGCTTGAAAAAGACGCGCTTCCCAAGACATGAATCACATGCCTCCCTGCTGGGGCCACCCTCCTATGCCGTGGGGATCCACACACTTTTCCAGCGCGAGGCACGTGCCCACACCTCCTCCAGGAGCGTGGGGTCAGGGGAAGTCCAGTCTCTCGCAACTCCGCTGCTTGCCTCCATCTCCTTGTCCTCGCCATTCAGCCACAGCCTCTTCAGAGGACCAGAACAGGTGTACTGAAGGTACTGGCGCCCCTAGTGGCCAGGAGGGGTAAGAGAGAAATTTTTATTTATTAATATGACAAAGCTGTCACACAGCGCAAAGAGTAGGATGGAACAGTGCTCACCTCCTGATTACCCCAGTACCATATAGCCTGTATTACACTATGATTGGCCAAGGCCTGGGTCAGATGGTCTCGGCGACCAGTCAGAATACTGACCACACCCCCTGGAATGTCAGAAAACTGCAGGATCTAGAATCCAGAGAACAGCATTAGGTTCTGTTATATTGTTGTTCCCCCCCAACCACAAACACATGCAGTGAGATTATGTGAGCAGACCTGTATAAATTCCAAGGCAAGAAGAGGGTACTTTTCGCTTGGTACCATGACCACTGCGTTGCCAGCAGCGACAGCAGCCCCAAGCAAAGAGACCAATGAGAGAAGAGGCCTTGAGTCAGGGAGTACCACACCCACCACTCCTATTGACTCTGGCAAAGACAGGGCAGAGCCAGACTGGAGAAGCGACTGAGGGAGACATTGCAGTGTATACATTACATATATGTAAGTACAGCATGGAGATTTAATCACTGCTGGCAGTTTGTTTCCAGTGTCTGACCTGCACACCACCCCGTTCCTTGTCACAGAGAGCCGCACAATCACAGAGTCGGGAGACACTGAGATCCACCTCCTTCTCTGCATCCTCCAATGGGAGGCCAGTCTGAGTACTGAGTGACTTGGTCATATCCTGCCTCTTTGAATTCAAGCATTCAGACAGACGGTAGAGTGACTGAGAGCGGGAGGCGGGGCCTTTCTTCATCCAGCTAAGAGAAGTGGGACAGAGAGGCAGCAGGGCGTGACCTCGGTGAGCAACAGCTGGGAGGTGTGGCTTACAAACAGACACGCTGAAGCGACGCTCTTTACCCTGGCTGGACCTTCAAAGCAGCCTCCACAGCATCACGCACATCTTTACGGCCACTGTCAGGGCAGTAAGCCAGCACTTCTCCACCTGCTGTCCGAACGGCCACATTGCAGCCGGAGTCAGACTTGCACAGTCGACCCCCGACAAGCTGGAGGAAGGAGCGAGGGACCCTACAAACGTGCCAAGAAAATCCACTTTATTTAAAAAGGCATGTAAATGACTTCCGTATGCAGAATCTGCCGAACATTAAAAGGAGGAAAAGAAGAAATCAAAAGCTATTGCCGCATTCCAGGGTAACCACACCACCTAAGATGTTTAAACGATGCAGTCAGGGCCGGAGTGGGACTGAATTCCTGACCGGGAGTTCAAGCCCCCAGACAGCCCAATATAAAACTACATACACAATCACACTATTATAATATATTTCTATTAACATCCATTATCTAGGCTACTGAACGCACATTCATACCTACGTGCGTTAAGATTGTGTTCATGTAATTTTAATAAAGCGTGGAGTAGCTTTGACAAAAATAAGGACGTCAAAGTGCACAAGAAATATATGATTTGTGCAAATTTCAAAACAAATTTAATGAATCACTTTTCACACAATTTGTTTTTCCGAATTTGTGCGGAACATTAATGATGCGCACTTTGACAATGAATGGGTCACAACAGTTCGATATTAAACCAACTTCCCAGTAGATTCATTGTATGTCTGTACTTCCTCCCAAACGAGGACGTCAGCTGAGTACAGTAGGTGGTCCTTCAATGCAGCCCGGGACACATTCGCGTTCACACTGCTGTAAGAATGTGGCCCTATGCGTTCCAGACCACCTCGGAATGTGGTTTGAGCGATCGGATCTCGATGCGGTTTCAATTCATTTTGAGTGCGTTCACACCTGAATTTAGCGCTGTCCTCTTGTGATCAGATCACCTTGGATGCATGTTAATACCAAGTGTAAACAGGGCCGGAGAGTCACACACTCAATACTCACTTTTGATCGGATTTGTGCTCCGCTGGGGCAGACGGCCCTGACACAGTGGAGCCGAACGTGGTGTAATCCATAGGGAGAGGAGAAGACGGAGGGAGGCAGCAGGAGGTACTGGGGCGCAGGAACTGGAACAGTCCCTACCAGTGGGCGGGAATGGGGTAGGGGTGAGGGTGAGGCTGAAGGTATGCAGTCTGACACAAAGACAGGAGGCCACCTCACCTCTCTGCCCCCGTCGGTACAGTTCCCACTCTCCTTTGCTCCCGAGATGGGGAGCGATGGATCCAGGACGGAGTGGGAATTTAGCCACACGGAGCCCATGGAAAGACTGGGAGACAGACAGGGAGGCCAGAGAAAACATAAGAGAGGTACACAGGTACGGTGACAGAGTGAGGCAGGCGGGGATCAGGCAGACAGGTAAGGGGATAGTGTCTCACCCTCTGGCAGCCTCTAAAGCGAGAGTCAGATCCTCTGTCCACAGACAGCCAGCCTGTCCGTGTGGCGAGTGGTTCCCTGGAAAAGGAAATATTCCACTGATGATTAATCACTCGGGTCTGGGACATTTGGTTGGCTCACACGACCACACACACACACACACACACACACACACACACACACACACACACACACACACCAAGAGTGATGCCCTCGTCAGTGGTCCTGAAGCACAGGGCAGGCAAGACGGGCCCTGGGGGTGGGGACACAGCAGAGGGACAGGAGGGAGCGACCCCCCAGAGCACGGTAGGGGGGTAGGCGGCTGAGGAGCTCGGGGGAGGACATGGCTGAATCACCTGTGCAGAAACACACATCCCTCTGAACACTTCCAAGAATCACAATGACCTTTGAAGACGAATGTGGACAGTTTCATCATTAAAATGTTACCTTTATAAGCACATATGTTGCATCATTTGTATGTTGGAACCCAGAATTAAACCCCAAAGGACTGCCAGTAACCACAGCGAACAACACCTGTCCCATCTGCACACTGTTTGACTCACTGTGGCCCCCTGCTGCGCTGCCTCCTGCACTGCAATATCCACAGTGGCTCGATCAGATTCAGCCAGAAGGGGAACACACTTCATCTCTGCCATTCGAATCTTCAGTCGAGCAGCAACGACGTCCCAGACTGACTCCTGCACACAGAGCACCCATCGCCACTGGAGGAGAGAGAGTGCAGTGCGGAGGGAGAGGAAAAACGACATCAGCATATGGGCTAAAGGCCCTTACCTTTAGAGCAGGAACCTAAACAGGATGGGTCGTGCTGTTGTACCTTTCAGCTGCTTTAGTGACATTCTCTATGCAAACCGATAGCACACAGAGACAGACAAACAGGGCACAAATATCCAAACACAGAGACACGCACACAGAAAAACAGACAAGCGCACAGAGACGTAGAGACACACACAAGCGCACACAGAGATATGCAGACACAGACAAGTGCACATAGATGAGCAGAGACACAGACACACAGATGTGTGTACACAGACACAGAGTCCCGGGAGCCTGTCAGCGATTTAGCACATCGTCTTTCTAGCATGGCTGTCAGCCATAGGGCTCCTTCAGGCTGGATGGTGGTTTGTCATCTGCTGAACAAATACTCACATCTCTCTTCTTTTTGAAGGCTGCTTCTATCACGCCATCCACAGCACTGTCTATATCTGCAGAATCAAAAATGATGAAGGGACAGACAGCGCTGGAGGAAAGGGAAAGCCAGACAGGGACACCAGTGCCGGCCATCTCCCGGCTCAGAGCCCGTCCTTCCTGTGGGGGTGGGGTAGAACCAGTATAGCACATTAGCACTGACTTTGCAAACACAGAAGCAATTAGCAGAAAGCAGCGGTCATCAATCCTGTTCTGCACATGCTGCAGGAGCTGATGGGATTGTTCAAGCAATTTCCACCACACTGACAAGGCTATCATTATACAGGATGCTAGGATGTCATAATATTACTGACCAGCAGAGGTCAGGCTGCCTAATAAGGCACTGACTAATGGTGAATGCACATTGTGTAATATATACATACATATATACATACATATACACATACATACAAATACACATACATATATATATATATACATATATACACACACACATATATATATATATATATATATATAAAATCACAAAACTAAGCAACAAAACCTTACCTTTTCATTCCCACTGTATGTGACACAGCTGATGTGCTGATATCGAGCTACTGTGACCCCCAGTGACAGGGTCTGCCCCATTACCACATTAATAGCTCCGGCAGGAAGTCCCGCCTCTCCACCAAGGCTGGCCAACAGGAGAGCGGGAAGAGCCGATCCGGTGCCAGGTTTCAAAATAACAGTGTTGCCTTAAAAACAGAAACCATGTGACCATGGCATCATTATGACATCATTTTAAAGGGTTTTAATACACGTTGAGAGGCTGCCAGCATGGGGGAGGGATTTCAGAAAGGGGGAGGAGCTTTGAGAAGGACCTGATCACTGTGCTCCAATTGCAACACTCACCCATTGATAAGGCAGCCATGGCCTTCAGCAGGAGCGAGTAGGCGGAGGCATCGTCAGACAGCAGCAATGCCACCACACCCACAGGACTCCAGCCAGGAAGCTGAGCATCTCTCAGCTGGGCCCAGCTGGCGTAATACTGCAGCAACCTGACCAGCGCAGCTGCTGGGCTGGGGGACTGGCTCAGCTCACAGAGCTCTGCGAGGCACTGGGCATATCTCTGCAGGGCAGCCGCCCACCTGAGGGGCGGAGCAGAGAGGAACCAATCAGATGGGTCAACGCTGCATGGAGCACCACCATGCTACTGGCCTGGCCTGCTTCAGGGCCAAACGTGATTTTCACAGATCGGCAGGCTTCCATGCGGAATATGTGGCCTGAATTTGGAAAGGAAACCATATATATTCCTGTCGATGTATTTGATTGTGCCAGAGGTTGGAATAACTAAAGGCCACACTTCTGTGGATGTTAACCAGCCTTTAATAATACACACACAACCTTGGCTCAGGGAAAAATAGTGACCAGGCCAGTGCCAGCTGAAAGCAGGCGTGCTGCAGGGAGCCTGTACTGTAAACAACCTCATACGTCACTGGAGCTGATTTCATTTGCTAATAATGATAAACCGAGAGTTTATTTTACCAAGACTTAACTAACTGGAACCAAGACAGTATGTTCTTTTATTATAAGAACATACTATTATATCTTGAATTCAGAATGAGCCCTAAATTGTAATTGTTAATGTGATTATAAAAAAAATACAAAGAATGTAATTGTCGCGAATTTTGAGAAACGCCGCTGCAAAAAAAATCAGGCGTTTCTGCCTGAAATCTTGCAGGGTCTGCTGAACACAAAAACACGCCTACTGCTGACATTAGCATGGAGCCAGTACTTTGTGCAAGAAGGGACTGGCCAAGTTCCATCCTGCTCTTCCCCCCCCCAGTGTAATCGGGTACCTCCTCAGAACACGAGCTCGCTGAGGGCAAGTCAGGCCGGACCAAGCGCGGAATGCGGCTTTGGCAGCAGAAACGCTCAGGGACACGTCATCGTCAGAGGCACACAGGATACTGCACACGCTGCCACCTGCAGGAGGAGATGGGGCCGCACAGGTCAAGCTGCCAAGCCTCCAGCCTCATGGAGCATAAACAGCAGGTACCTGAAGCGTCCGTCAAAACACTGGCCTGTCTGCCAGCCGGCCGAACAAACTGTCCATTGATGAAAAAACCCAGCGAACGGGAGTGAACATCCAGCCAGGCCTGAAATGGACAAGACGGACACCTGCATACGGTTAGGCTGCGGCACTATCCTATTAGCTATGTCACCACCCCTCGTATTAACCAATAGGAACAGTGGGCATTGCAAACAGCCCCAGCAGCACAAAAATCACGATGGAGATGGGAGTCGAGCACGGAAAATCAACCCACACACAAGCTTACGTTAGTCAGTCACATGGCTGCCCCGGGGAATACAGTAAATCCACTCAGTAAACTTGCACACTCGGGAAAATGGAACAAAGTCTCCTCTGAAGTGCAAGACCATCCGACGAGAGACACAACGCCTAATCCATGCCAGTAAATGCGCCAAATGTGCATCAGAAAGGTCCACTTACTCACCTGAGCAGCCGCGCTGCTAGGAGCGGAGGGTGCGTACTCCATGGATCGGAATACGTCAAAAACGGTCTTAGAGCTGCTGCCGGCCATATGAATGTGGTGAAATGTATTTAGCACTGCAGTATTTTTCGCGAAATAACTCGCTTTGTCTTATTATACGGAAATAAATTATGCTGTATGCTGTTTATTGTTTTGTTTTTTTCAATTAAACTAATTGCTTGCAGTTGCAGATTTTGGCATCACAGGTTTTAGAGAGCTAAATAATTCGCACGTAAAACTTTTGTATTATTTTCTTTTTACCAGAAAGCATGTTTTGATCGCTTCCCGTAAATCGGTAGCCCGCAACAACTTGTAGAGGAGACGTTAACGCTGATTTTATCCGTTTAATCCTTTACATGAGACCTCCCCACATGTCAAAGTCCTCCAGTCTACGCTAGGCTATGCTACAGATCGAGTTCCGCACGGACAGTCCAAAGTGGAACACAGTCACGTGATTCTGAGTTAGTTGAAAGTGAAACTGCATTGGAGACGGTGGCGGATTTCGTTAGTGTTATACCGGGTGTTAATGGATCCTAATGAAGACCAAGATAATGCGGCTAGGACAGTCGTTATGTTGAGCCTACGAGGGTGAGTGTGACTTTTCTTCAGTCAGTGTGTTTGTCGAGGTTGCTCTATGTGTCTTAAGAGCGGTTTCGCCGGCAGCATCGTTGAAGATCAATTACCGGGAGAGCCCGTCAACGAAGTACTGCGAGGTCTGCTGCCGGAACACGATGTGGAGGACGAAGCCGTGAACCAGGTGGCCAAACAAGTCAGAAGAATAGCCAAAGATTTGGAGAAGGACACACTTCTACAACAGTCAGTATTTAACAGTGTTTACTTATATGATAAATAAAGACTATCATATAAAGCAGTGGTTCTCAATCTTTTTCTTATCCAAGGACCCCCTGTGTCCAGGAAAATGCAGGGAAATAAAATGTGCAGTTAGTCAAAGTAGGGGAGACTGGAGGCAGTGCAACCAGTTAGGTGAGTTCAATATGTAAGCTCTGGCAGATATGGCTCTGGCAGATATGGCTATGGCAGCATAAGTTGGAGGGAGAGGCAGGTGGAAGCGCAGGCATGGGGGGTCCCTGAACATCAGCACTCCAATTCCACAAGGGGTTGTGAAGCTAGAGTGACAGCACTGACCGTTCAGTTCATCCAAGCCAATGGCACTGACCTCACCCAGCTCTACACCTCACACTACAGGTCTAACTGGGAGTGAGCAGTCAGCTAGAGCTAGAACTAGAGTCCCTATAGACTAGACTAAACAAGTGTGTTTTTACTCGAGTCTTGAACATTGAGAGTGAGCCTGGATCTTGCATATCCGCTGGAAGATGATTCCACAGCTGTGGAGCTCTGTAAGAGAATGCTCTGCAGCCCTCCATAAGTCTTTCTACTCTAGATACACTAAGCAAGAGTAGGGTATCAGTTTTCTGTTTACTCCGCATCTAAATGCCCTATTCCTGTGAGGCTGTGTTACAATGGTTCTAAAATCAGAAGCCTGACAACCATTAAAAATGCACATAATTGAAAGTACACTCATTTTAAGGAATTGGCTTTCAACAAATTAAAACGAGCTCTGCAAATTACTATATTTAACAATGTTTTTAAACAAACCAAGTAACAATGATTCCTTGCCTTTCCCCTCCATCAGCTTCCCTGTGAGACTGAGTGGTTTGATTTTTAGCTGAGAATTCTGGGAGTCTGTGTTATGCCATGGTCGAAGCAACCAGGAAGTAATACTGTTGGTTTCATTTAAGATTTTAACGCACAATAAAACTATATCAATGTAACCGGTGTTGGCATTATATATCTCATTTTTAAAATATATTGATATACCATAAAAATTTGTGTAGACTAACACCCAGCCCTAGCAACATCATCATTTTTTTTTACTTCTCATAAAAACTGTGTGCTCCCCCTTGGTCCTCATTGAGGCCCCCTAGTGGGCTGTGTCCCCTTATTTGACAACCATTGCTACAGTGTAAAGGGAACCAAAACCTTCTCCTTCAAAGAGAGTACAAAGTGTCCCTCAAAGACACCACCCACTGACCCAGACTTGGGACTAACATGACCTGTGTCACTGACTCGTCCCTGACTGCCTGCCTCTGTGTTTCTGATATCCAGATCCATTGATGTACTTCGAAAGGTTTGCAAAGATAGCTTTATGAAGATTGTGGAGAAGGTGATTGTAGATGGCATAACCTGGGAAAAAGTCATTGTTCTGCTTTATATAGCAGGGAAATTCATTGTCAAGGTATGGTATTCACCTAATGGTGTCAGTGTTCATTCAAATACACAAATTCCCTAATAACCACCTTCTCCTCTAAATTAATTTAATTGAAGTTTTAATTTAAGTTTTAATTAAAAAAAATAGCAATGCACCCCATTTTTATTAAAGCTCAATTTTCCTCCACAGCAAAACTTTCTGAATGACATTGCATTGATCGGCAAGTTTATAGATGTAATTTCAAAGTGCTGTCATTAAGACATTTTCTCTATCAAAGTGGCCATTTGTACCAGTGGTAACCAGTCAGCTTTTCTTCCAGTTAATTAAAGAGCACTTACAGCAGTCACTGTCAGATATCCTCACCTGGACCTGGGATTTCTTCAAGAGGAGAGTATTATCCTGGATCGAGCAGCAGGGAGGATGGGTAAGAGATCCATTCCTTCAGTAAACGCAGTGGCCATTGATTTTCCTTTACTGCGTGTTGAAATGCAGAGGAAGGCTGGTCACCTCCTGATCAGAGACCCTGGTAGCTGCAGTGAAAGTGTGGGACACAGTAGTAGCCCCTTGTGCTTCAGCCGGATTAAGTCTGACTCTCTCCCGCAGGTGAGCTCTCTCTCCAGCTTTAGCACTCCGGCTGTCCAGTACTGGGCCATCTTTGTATGTGGATTCCTGTGTTTGGGGTTTGTCTTGTGGAGAGCAGACAGATCAAGCTGATGGATCGTCCACCAAGAAGACATAACCTTCTTTTAACCAAGGTCCATTGTGCAAGTGCGTAACACAAGTACATCAAAAATAATATAAGAGAAAATGCAGAAACTGCTGGACAGTCTTCTTTAGAGAGAATATCTGAGTATTTCTAATGAACATAATGAGTTTGAAACTTCATCTGATCATGTTTGCATCATTAACATGGATATTAAGTAAAGGCACTTGTTTCGTGTACGTGATGTACGGCGCCAGGCAGGCAGAGGCATCTGTATGATCTCCTGTTCTGTACTCACCTCTGTTGTGCTCAGACGGCATTTAAAAAGTCACCTGGCAGATGTATGTTGTGTATTTTTATAACGGTGCATCTTTTTTTAACTAAAAACTTGGTGCCACATTGTGTTTGTGTGTTTATATGACCTTTGTGTGTCATGCAAGCATTAATCAGCCATCTAGCTGATATCCTGTTACCCATTTGGCTAATTTATTCAGCTGAACAGCTAGCTGGGGAGGGCACTCTGGGTTGTACAAAACTGAAGGAGTCCCTTATGAAAGGGCTGATGCTGGCCGTGCTTATCTTCAGCTGTGTGCTCTGAGCACCCCCATGACTGCTGTGCTGTTAGGTTTTCCCCTGCCCCTTCAGTGGGGGTGCACACACACACACACACACACACACACACACACCTGCTATGCTAATCTGGCCAGATGAAACGCCTGCTAGCTGCTGGGACACACAGAGCCCGCTGCCTGTTGCTTCTCTGGCCTCGGAGTCTATCCTGCCACACATGCAGGCAGTAGGTATGTAACACAGACTCCAAGCATGACAGGCAGGGACTCATTGTGTTGATTTTCCTCTGTATAGTGAGCAAATCTGATGTGAAGACACCACCTTAATGATCATCTGATTTTATTGAATCGTTTCAGGCTTTTTAGCCGAGGGTGTATTGCTTTGCTATATAGATAAAGCTGATGAAATTTCATTCAATATCTGGTGGAATTTTTATTCAAATAATACCTGCACGTTACCGACAGTGTGTTGCCTGGAGCAGAGCTCAGAGTCATCTGATTGGTGAACGGGCTGGTCACATGACTGCCCATCACCCCATGTTACACACACAATTGAGAAGGAATTTCTATAGAGGTAAAAATTGAACTTTTCATTGTGAATATTGAGTAATATGATTAGTCAAATATGAATAGTTGGTGTTGGTATTGTATTCCCGACATAACATTTAATCACAAGAAAAAAATTACTTAGTGTTATATTCTCAATAAGAATGAATACATAAAAATACACAATGCACAAAGACACACTTAGAAATAATAAACACACTGGACACATACTGAAAATTTTGGCATAAGCTTTTGATATTTTTATTTATTTTTAAATTATGTTATCTTTTTAGATTTAATTCATTTTTGTGTTTTTTAACGATTTTAACTTTTATCTTTTTTCTATCTACAGGGGAGATGAGTTCAAGTAAGCTGCATTCGTGTTCAAACTCATACTTTTAATAATATAGCTCTTCTGTCATTTTTTTCACAAACTTTGTTAAATTACGGTGGTTTATTAATTATTTTCTTTCCATGTTTCAAAAATATAAAAGATAAATAATAAACATTCCATTGAAATATCATTTGTACAGTTTTTTTCTTTTTTACATTTTTAAATGAATCCAGCATCGTTATAACACTAACCCCACACACCTTTCTGTAACTCTCTCTCTCTCTCTCTTGCTCTCTCTCACTCCCTCCCTCTCTGACCGTCACCCTAAAATCCTGCTCTCTATCAGCCTCTGCAGCATGTTGCTGTGCTACAGTAACACGTGCTGCACTGTCAGCTGCATCTTCCCAGTTCAAACACCCAGATAAACATGGGAATGAATCAGAGGACCCTGTGGTGGGATGGGACTTTCAGGAGGATCTGTGTTATTGACTTGGGCACATGTGTGTGTGGTCAGGACATTCCCCTGGAAAGGGGAGGGCAGCCATGATAGAGGATGCTCAGCATCCACACCCTGTGGGATGGACATACAAAAAGGCAGCAGAGGAGAGCCGTGAAAAACAATCACCCTCACACACTGGCCTTGGTTGTGACCATGACATGGTGGCTCATTCCGCCACTCTGTGAAAGCCTGACAGCAGCAAGAGAAGCTTCCTGACCTGAATCCTTCACATCCTGGCGTTAGATGACACCATAACACCGAATCATGAACTACGTGCTAGTATGTAGATCTCAGAAAGAAAGCAGGCTGCTTAGAGATATTCCGGAAGCATGACCACACCAAGAGTGGCCACTTTCAGCAGAGTGACAGAACTATGAAGCTGTGCTACTGTAAAGCTATATTTATGAGAAGGAGAGAAGATAAAGAGACATGTTTAGAGAAACACGAAGACATCTGGCCTTCTATTTTTAGTTTTTTTTTTTTGCATTGGTGGAACTACGTACAGTGCCCACACATGTAAGTGATCTTTTGTTGTCTTTCTCTGACATCAGCTTCCTGCAAACTCTGCCACCAACGAACTCAAAAATGGTCCAGGTTCCTGTACTTGGAAGCACAGAGATTACCTGAGTGACCAAGAGGTATGAGAGTTTAACTGTGTGCTTTTGGTGGAATTAAGCCGGTTATATGGGTCCTTAAACAAAGAGGAATCAAAAGTGTTCCGTATGGAATGAAATAGAACAACAGGTGGGAAGCAAATGAAAGCACGCTTCCACTTCCTACTTGCAGGCTGTTAGCTCAGCATTTTCTTTCAGTACTTTTAAAGAGCAGATATGGGGTGAGAGAGAGAGTTACATCATTCTTTCCATTTCAGAAGTAAGCTTTGTTTTCTTTTTTCACACATGCGTTATAATTCAACTTCAAACAATATGACATTAAAACAGGAGGCAGGGATGCAAAGGAGGAAAATGCATGGAGCCAGCGAGCGAGCAGAGCGGGGACGGAGAGAGAGGTCAAAGGGCAGCACAGCCATGTGACTGCAAGGTCCGCACTGCGCGCTTCTGATATGTTTCCAGGTTTATTTCAAGTAAAGGTGCACAGATGCTGCTGCTGCCATTGGTCTAATGAGGGTTTTGGCTTTGATTAGGTGAGAAGAGCGACCCCAGCTCTGGTGACCTGGACAGACACTCCGAGGCACCGGCGCTTGGCTGTTTCATGCTACGTTTTCAGCATCTGTGTCCGAAACAGCCTTTCATCTCGCTAACCCTAGAAGCAGGAGGGACTAGGCAGGTGTGTCTTAAAACTCTTAAAACATTTGTCTTCCATATATCAGGACAATAAAGGAAGCACTGGGAGGGAGGGAGAGAGCGAGCAATGAGAGAAAGAAAAGGTGAACAGAAGAAAAAGAAAATAGGGTGAATTTATCAAGCAGTTTAATTGTGGAAAAAAAGAATGTAAAATAAAGATGAACTAACTAATCTGAGTGAATCTCAGTTCCTGCCTTGACTTGCCTGCTTTGGGATTTTTCTAAAAGTCAGGGCCATAACCTTCTGCATCCCTCACATGTCAGACAGCATAATGGTACAAAATGCATTAATCACTGAAGATTTACACGATACGACTCACTTCGACTGTAGGCCACAGGTCCAAGCTTGCATCACCCGTCAGCTGCCACTGTTTGCTATTGCTAGACCAGAGCAGACCCTGCACAGGCCCAGGCCCTCGGGTGCGAACCACAGCCACTGGCTCCCCAAACACAGAGGCAGTTCAGAGAGCTGGTGACCCCAGGAGCATGACAATGTCATGCATCATGTACCACTGTGGGGACATTTTCAGTGGTACCAGCAGGGGGCAGTGCAAGGCTTCAGCCATGACACCAGCTACACACTCACATTATGATGGGAAAGGCGAGGACAAAGGGACTCGAGATAAAGCACCATCCAGCAAAAACAATGTCTTTCAAACAAGTTAAAAATAAAAATGCTATTTGCTGTTGTTGGTGTTGCAATCAGGAGCAAATGGTGCCACAGCCACAGGGGGGCGCCGTGTTCCCACAACTGGCCTGGGGTAGCGCTGCTTTCAAGCCTTGCTAGCAGCCCTCAGGAGGAAGCATGGGTTTGAGAGTGGGGCGAAGGCCTGGGTAGGACAAAGGTGCAGGGTCACAGGGCCCAGGTGGGATTAAAGGGGGCGGAGTCACAGGGCTTAGGTGGGAACAAAGGGGGCAGAGTCACAGGGCTTAGGTGGGAAAAAGGGGGTGGAGTCACAGGACTTGGGTGAGAAGAAAAGGGGCAGAGTCGCAGGAGAATCAGCCCCAGGGCAGAGGAGATGCAAGGACTTCCAGGGATTTCCAGAGTTTCCAGGAAGCTCGTGGCAGAGTTCATGTCCGGCACTCAAACCGATTTCTTAACAAAATATTGTTCAGTATTGTTCATCTTGCAGTATTGTTTTTTTATTTATTTTTTTTATTATTCAAAACAAAATAGAGATCCTCTTTTGTATAATCCTTTTTTTGTCTGAGTTGCATATAACGTATGTCTTTTAGTTTCTTTTTTAATTACTGACCTCTCCTTTTTCCAGTCAGGCCTTGCAGAAGTAAAGTCATGCAGAATCATCATGCTGGTAAACTAGGTAATAAAAATGCTCTTTTGTTTTTTTTTTGTCTTCTCCCCTGATTTGTCTAGAAGCATAAACCTTCACCATTTCTGTACATGGTACCTTCTCTGAACTCCTAAACCCTTTTCACTCTCTTCTGTTTCACCGTGAGAAGCTGCTCATTTGAGTTAATTTTATGTTTGTTTTTGAGTCTTCACTCTTGGTGATTGTGATTTAAGTAAGATATGTTGCTGATTCCACTTGTAGGCCTCAGTCCTTCTTATTTCTTTCATGCCATGCGATGCGTAACGTGGCAGCTGAACTATGAAATGTTGAAGAATGAAGAGAGAGAGGGAGAGAGAGGGAAGGAGAGAGAGAGAGAGAGAGAGAGAGAGAGAGAGTGCACCAGCCAGATGTTATTCCCGCTGCCCCTGATGTTTGCAGACACAAAAGTAGCTGACGATGTTGATTCTCAGATCAGAGCATGTGATTGGTCCCTCTTCACATTAGCTGACTGCCGAGGGGCTCATATTGGCTTAGAAGATCCATGAAGCATCAACAGTGCCAGTGCTTATACAGAGGTGTGAGCAAGTGGGGAGCAGTTCCATGTGTGCTGTGCTGTGGCTTGTCATGTTGTGAGTGAGAACCTCCATCTAGCCTGTCTGTCAGCCAGGCTTCAGGCCCCCACTGCCTCAGCCAGCTTATGAAGTTACAGACGAATACATGAAACCTTTATACTGTTTTCACCAAGTGAGAGGAACCTTCTGGTTGCCCTTCTGGTTAGTTATAGGAGAAACACTGAGCAGGCAGAGTCATTGGCTAATCCAAGGAGAGAGCAATTGGCTGACTAGTTTTTGGGCATGACTAAGTCATTGGCTGATCAGAAGAGAGATGTGGAGACTCACTTATTGGTTATTCAGAGAATGAAGATTGACGAGGTTCAGTCATTGGCTGATTTGAGAAAGAAGCTGGGCAAGGTTCGGTCATTGGCTGGTTGGAAAATGGAGGCAGACATGGCTCAGTCATTGGTTAGTTGGAAAAGGAAGACAGGCATGGCTCAGTCATTGGCTGGTTGGAAAAGGAAGATGGGCATAGCTCAGTCATTGGCTGGTTGAAAAAGGAAGGCGGGCATGGGTCAGCTGTTAGCTGGTTGGTAAAGGAAGGTGAGCATGGCTCAGTCATTGGCTGGTTGGAAAAGGGAGGCGGGAATGGCCTAGTCATTGGCTGGTTGGAAAAGGGAGGCAGGCATGACTTGGTCATTGGTGGGTTGGAAAAGGGAGATGGGCATGGCTCGGTGATTGGCTGGTTGGAAAAGGGAGGCGGGCATGGCTCGGTCATTGGCTGGTTGGAAAAGGGAGGCGTGCATGGCTCAGTCATTGGCTGGTTGGAAAAGGGAGGCGGGCATGGCTCAGTCATTGGTTAGAGATCTACAGCAGTGACATACCAATGTGTTATTCAGGAGATTCTCCTATAACAGCTTGTCTTCAATCAACAAATGCTACATAAGTGGTCAGGGCTTCACAATGGTGCAGTAACATATATGCAGGGAGTTTGTGTGTCCCTCCATGTTCTCATAACGAGAGTCTCAGTCTATCTGTGCATGGAGATGGCTCTCTTTCTCATTCTCTCTCTCTCTCTATCTCTCCATCTTTTCCGCCGCGCTTTTGCACCGCCCTTCCTTTTGCAGACTGGATTTTGTCATAGATGTTTCTTCTTTAGAGAAAAGGGAGGTTTTAGAAACTCAGCACTGAAACAGAAGAAAACACACATGGAGGTGGTTAGGATGTGTGTGTGCAGTGTTGCTTTAAGAAAAAAAGGAAACGATAAAGAACAAGCTGACCAAATCCCGTGGTATACTGCAATCCAATAATGAGGACCAAACGATAGCAGATAGTGCTGGGAAGTGCTTCACTGCTTTGGGTTTCGCACATACTGAAATGACTGGGGCAATGTCCCCGTGTGGAATTGCAGTACACCACAGTATCGGAAAACAAGAATGACATCACTTGGCTTCAATGTGTAACTTTCATGGAGGGTCCAATTCAAATTATCAGTCAGCCTTAGTCAAATTATGCAAGCTGTACATGAAAGTTACACACTGAGTATTTGAATGTGTGTATATTCATAGAGACATATACACACATACATATAATTGTAATATGCATTTTACATAAACACACACACACTCGGGGTTTTAACTGACGATTCCTTAATTGATTAATCATGCAATTTAGGTAAAAAATATCACTTTCCATCAAAATGTACAAACAAATAGGAGCAGTGGAGAGAACACCGTGTGTTTCGCTTGCGTTTGTTGGACACACAGCAGATTCACCACGACTCGGGTCACCAGACTGTCACTGTTGCTTACGGGTGGCATTTTGCTAAAAGTCTGACAAGTGGATCAAGGTGTTCACGTGAATGTTCTTCAGAACAGAACCAAATGTTCAATTGAGTAGAACCAAATGATAAACAGAACAGAACCAAATGTTCTATCGCACAGGACCAAATTTTGGGCTCTAGCACCACCTAGTCAGATGAGTCCAAACATTTTACACAGATTTGCCCTCATCTGCATCGAAAGAATTGCATTTTGTCAAGATCACAGCAGGGAGAAAACAAGAGATGATTACTCAGTCAATAAGAAAGGCCATAATTAAAACCCCCACGAGTTGCAGACACGTGCACAGGACTACAGAGCATTTTACACTGCAGATCACACTCACGCCCATAAGCAGGTTCACATACTGTACTAACACACAGGAATAATACTCAGACACACCAAGTCAGAAATGGCAACATAGAACATGTGACAGGAAACATACAAACATTCTTACGCGGCCAACGATCGCCTTCCTGCTCCGTTTGCAGTCTTAGTTCTTTCTTCCTTGGCTGACAGTCCTCTTTTTACGTTACACTTCACATGCTTCCCCCAAAAACATCATTTTCATTCTTTATGTTGTTTTTTTTCCGTTTCTATTCTTGAGGGCTGTCATTTGTATTCCATTTAAGGGGAGATATTCATATTAACTGTTCTCACTCCCATTGTTAAGAGTTCACTTTTGTGGAAGTATTACAGTTAGAGTTGTATACCACAAAGAAAAAGAGTGAAGTGTCAGAGGGAAAGGGTGGAGACGATGGAAAAATGGGAAAGACAAAGTGGGGAATGTACAGAGACACAAGTACAACACGAAGGCAGTCATCTCACAAAGCATTTTCAATACTGTTAACTCTTTCCTTTCCACTTCAGACAGACATTATTTCCACTAAGAAAGAAAAGCGTCAAGGTCATGAAAAGATAAATTCCTGAGTTTTATCAAGTGTTAGACAAAAAGGAAAAGATTAGAGAATAGGAACAAATGGCCGGAGAAGTGAGCAGATGAGTGAATGAAGAGTCCAGGTTCAGAAATCGAGGTTCTGCGTCAAAGCAGATCTGCTCTGCATCTTCCAGCCGTCATGCATCCATCTGCACCTTCATAGTGCTGTGGGAAACTCCCATGCTGCTGTTCTTCTATTTCAACTGGTTCTGTATTACTATGCCTGCATCTGCCTGTGGTTCTGTATTACTATCCTTGTTTCTGCATGTGTTTCTGTATTATCACCTCTGTGTCTGTCTGTGGTTCTGTAGTACTACAGCTGTGTCTGCCTGTGGTTCTGTATTATTGCCTCTGTTTGCTTGTGGTTCTGTATTACTATCTGTCAGTTTCTGTATGGCAATCTATGTGTCTGCCTGTATTTCTGTATTATTTTCTCTGTGTCTACCTGTGGTTCAGTATTATTATTTCTGGACCTGCCTGTGGTTCAGAAATAATATCTCGGTGTCTGCCTGTGGTTCTGTATTATTACTATCCATGTGTCTGCCTGTGGTTCTGTATTATTATCCCTGTGTCTGCCTGTGGTTCTGTAGTTTTATTCCACAATATTAAATCGACTGAAGTTAACATACCCTCCATGAGGATGTGTAGATGTATAAAGTGCTGTAATTGTGGAAGGCCTTTCATCACAGTGAGAAGGCCCACAATCATTAGGTATGCTGTGTTTCTTAGGTAACTGTCATATGACCACAGCTTCATGTGCCAAGTGATGATGGACCTGCTGGCCAAACATGGTCACCTGTCACCTAAGTCTTCAGTGAACATGCCACTCTGCAGAGACACCCTGGAGTGAATATAAGCTGTAGATCAGTGAAGGCACACTGTCCACAGTTGTATCAATGTACAGAATGATACTGAATGAAATGACAAACGTCACAGACTGAAACAGACTGAAATGGTGACTGAAGTAAATGCTGTTGACCAACTTCTGTCTCTGAAATAGATACCATCCATGTAGGAGACATTCAGAGACATTTCAGTGTGTCATGTAAATGGGTTGCAAGCCCACATGAAGGGTGAGATCTCAACACCTCCTGACTCTCAGCCTTGGCAAAACTGTGCCTCTCAGCTTCTAAAGGAGGGAACCCAGTGTGAGACTGATAGATGGAGGACAGAAAAGGAGGATGAATGCAGGAGGAGCAGAAGAGCTGCATTTAGCTAGAACCTATAACTGAAGGAAGAAGTCGATTTGTTTCTGTCTTTTTGGGTCAACTCACAGTTACTGCTTCATTTTGCATATATCTGATAAGCTTTCAGAATAGATTTCTGTAAAAAAGATGAAAAAAATTACAAAATCATAGTACTGATAATGACATCATCCAGCCTGCAGTCCCATCCACTGTACTGCTGACTGTGAAAGTAACCCCAAAGCCACATGAGTCACAGGGAAGACACCCCCTAGTGGCCAAAGGCATGCAGAGCAGCGTCCCTTCTGCCTGTTAGGAGGTCCAGAAATCAGCATGCAATCAGCCAGCTTGTAGCTGCATATAAATGCACACGTTTACGTACATGTACATATATGTACGCATATATGAATTTACATATACATTTAAACAGAACAAGGTGCCTTATCAAAACATACTCGTAGATCATAATATAGACAATACAGATATATTCATTTCTTATTGCTTGCAGTAGGAACTCATGCATGTAAAAAAAATAATAAAAACTAATTTTAAAACTATACTTATCATTTAGAGCCATTATGGGTGTAATATAAGCACATTGTTTAGTACAAATACAGGAACCAGGAACCAGAGGAGCAAGATGGAGAGGAAAATGATGCAGATACAGGGAAGGGCAGGAATGGAGGAGGGACAGAGATGCAAAGGATGAAGCAATTGTAGCAAGGAAGAAGAACAGAGGAGAGAGAAGAAAACGACATGGATACAGGAAGAAAGTGAAACAGGGGGAGAGAAGGAAACTACATGGATACAGGAAGGAGGAGAAATAGAGGAAAGCGATGGAGTGAAAAGACATGGATACAGGAAAAGAAAGGGAATTTGGAACAAAGACATGGCGGCTTAGGGCGTGCTGGGGGTCCAGCTTTGGAATACAGAGCAATTATCCCCCCAAACCTAAAAGAGGTGACAGAAGTGGCATTATTCTGTATATGCTGTGTGTGTGTGAAGCCAGAAATCAGTATATTTTACATGGTTACATAAGAGCGGCAGCCATTTCAGCGCAGTGCTTACAGGCCTACATGCCTAGCTCTCCAAAAGGCATTCACGCACAGCAGGCCTTTCCTAATGATATGCTTCATTTAAAGTGTCCTGAGCTTTTTTGTTTCTTTTTAGTTTTTTTTTTGTTTGTTTGTTTTTTTTTTAATTTATATGTTTTTTTTGCAAACACACTTTAGCAAAGTTGCTTTCTCTGTCGCCAAATGCACCCCAGAGACAGCAAAGCACTGGTTGGGGTGTGGCCCCACAAGGGCTTTGGGACTGGGCCAGCGTCACGCTGGGTTTTGCTCCCCAGGATGCTCAGGCCCGTCCTTTAGCGCCCGAGCTGACGCCTCGGCCAAGGAGGCTCCGCATGTCTCAGAGAATGCAACTGCGCCCACCGCCTTCAGCACGTCACCTCCTCCACGTTTGGGGAAGGAAGATATCAGAGGACAAGGGAAGCCAAAGGATGATAATGAATGTAACAGGTTTAAATTCCCCGACATACTAAGAGAAACATGTTTATAGCTAATGCAAAGCCTGCAGAATGTAAATCATTACATTTACATATTCCATTTGGATATATTAAAACAAAAAAGGGAAAGATAATTTAGCAATTAGAAAAATAAAGACCTATTCTGTAAATGAACCATCAATAAAAAAGTTCCTTATGAAGAGTGACCAGACACATAAGTAGCAATAATAACAATACGGGTAGAAAAATATTTTCATATCATTACTATTACTGTCACTGACATATTTGCACTTGAATCATAGAAAAGGAGATGGGATGCTTGCTAATCGTCTGCTCATAAGCGCCGTGGCTGGGAGCTGGACCCCTGTCTGCTCATAGATAAACACGGTAACGCCGTCTGCCTGGACACCCGCTGCCTGCTCCTTCTCTCATCTTCCTCATCTTCCTCTATCGCTTGCTGGCAGTCCAGCCTCCACTCAGAGTCCCCCCTTCATTTTCGCCCGGAGATCGTCATCCGAAATGCAAGGGAGGATGGGGGGGGGGTGGAAACAAAGAAAACAGAAAGAGAAAACGAAACAAAAAAAAGGAAAATACCTAAGATGTAAACAAAATAGGGAGCACGTAGCCAAAAAATGGCAATAAAAAGGGACTTTCCGCTAACGATTCCAGGAACCACATCAAGCAGGTTGACAGGGGTGCACTGGGGGGGCCGGCTGGAGGGAGGGCACTGCATTCAGGGTACAGTACTGCAGATGTGTGTCTGTCAACAATTTAAATAAGAAGGAAAAAATAAAAGCTACAGCTATGGAGGTGACTCCTCCCCTTTCCAGGCAAAGTGATGAATATTGGCCCCTCCCTTTTTCCAGGTTAAGTGATAAGTATTCGCTATTGACTGGGTGGCTCCTCCCCTTTTCCAGGCTGAGTGATGAATATTCGCTATTGGCTGGGTGGCTCCTCCCCTTTTCCAGGCTACATGATATTTGCTTTCGACTGAGTGGCTCCTCCCCTTTTCCAGGCTACATGATATTTGCTTTCGACTGAGTGGCTCCTCCCCTTTTCCAGGCTTAGTGACTTTTCTGTCCATCATCCATTCTTATTAAAATAGAGTCTTTGCATGTTGGTTCCTTGAGTGAAAGTCAATCCATGATAAAGAAAAAGGCTAAGTGAAAGCTTCTCTCCTCTGTCATCTTTCTCTCCCTGAAAAGTACCCATGAATCCACACCAGCCCTGCCCCTCTCCTCTTCACTGCCCTCCTTTAAAAAAATAAACATGTAATTCCACTCTGCATTTTTTTCACTGCTATTTAGTTTTTATATATTAATAATGTCAATGATTTCAAGAATGAGTATGCAGTCTTTTACCCTCCTTCTAATATTTGTAAAAATATCAATAATGATAATGACAATAATTTTCTGCATTTTCTGATTGCCACCCATTATAATAAAGGGTGATATTTTTTCCGTTGATGTTTGTTTTAACAGCAGTGTGTGTAGCTGTGTTCGCTTACTGTGTGTGTGTGTGTGTGTGTGCGTGTGATTGTATGTGTCTGTGTGTGTGTGTGTTAGCTATCCTACACACTGTATTCGCATCAGAGATCAAGTAAATGGCTACAAGTCATTCTTAAAACGTTGAGAAGCCTTCGGAAGCTTCTAGAAGATCTCTCTAATTCATTGAGATTGGGTTGGACTGGGTTTTTCTTTTGGTGTGAGCTTTCAGGTCAGAATCTGACCAAGCAATGGCTCTTTTTAAAGCTTATTATCAAAATAAATATTCTATATACTTTAAGTGCAAATATTTGACCACACACCAATAGCCTGCAGTTCCGGCCCAATTGGGACGGGGGCGCTGTGGGATTCATTATTATCATTATCATTATATTGGCCAGTGGCACAGTCGTTAGTCTGGTTCTGCTACAAAATGGATGGGATGGGGGAGCGACAGCGACGCAGGGGCCCTGGGGGCTCAAAGCGCTCGTAGGGGGCGCTGCTGATGGGGGTCAGGCGCATGGAGGCCGCCGCCATGCCAGAAATGTTGTTCAGGCTGCGGGACTTCTCATAGCCCGACGCGGCTGCGGGTTCGAGGGGACGGAGCCAAAGAAACAGGGAGGGTTCAAAAGTCCAGGAAATCATAATCAACAGCAGTGAAAGGAATTTAATGATTAAGTGGCAAGAAAAAAACATTAAAAATTAAAACAATAACAATACAAATGGTATTTAAAAAACCAAATTACACAGTGAAATAAACAAAGCCAGAGACAGACAAACAGACAGACAGACGGACGGACGGACGGACACAGAGAGACAGAGACAGAGAGACAGGAGAATGAGAGTCATGAACTGCGTCACTTAGCCGTTTACATCATCATCAGTTTAAAGCTTTTCCCCAAAACATAACAAAGGTGAGTAAAGGTCTGCGACTGAGGTGAGCGAGAATAGCAGGCACAGCTCACCCTGACAGCACGACAGAACGAGCGGTAAGGAGCGGCCGACACACACGCCTCACTGTCCACGTGAAGATGTACGGAGAAACTGCAGTGACACACCGTGCAGAACGAATGCAACCTCCCCCCCCTCCCCCCCCACAACCAACACCCCACTAAGCAGACTAACGGTCTCATAGCGGACCAGGGGGTATATTTGAAAAAGATGAAGCTGAGGATGACAGTTTATCGGAAAAGGGAGAAGAGTGTCACAACAACATGGTGAGAGAGTTCAGGCTGCCCCTGTGCCATTGCTGGAGGACAAGGCTCTCAGTACCTCAGTTCCCTTCTGAACAGTGACAGGCAGCTTCCTGGAGCCAGGCAGGCAGAGTCACCGATCTCCAGTTCTACCCCTTATCCAATTACACGGCCCCATCTGACCTCAGCACGAAAGTGCCCAATTATTGTTCACTATCTGACCTCAGGAACCAAATCAGAAGAGAATTGGAGTCCCATCATTGCCTTTATAACTCAGAGATTTTGTGTACTTATGCTTGATACATTACAAAATCGAGGTCCACCATCTGCGATCTTTCAGGGATTGCTGGCATGTTTCCCATGATGCACTGGGGCAGTGTACTGCACACAGACTGTTCACATAAAGATGCTCACAGAAGAAAGACCAGCTGCTCTAGTGATCAACAGACATGGACACACTTAATCACAGAAAGAGAAAGAGAGGGTGGCAGAGAGAGGGAAAGAGGAAAAGGCAGAGAGGGAGGAAGAGGAGGCAGCTGAGAGGAGAAAAGAGGAGAATGTAGAGATAGGGAAAAGGAGGTGGCAGAGGGGGAAAGAGGAGGAGGCAGCATAGAGAGGATAATAGGAGAAGGAAGAGAAGGAAGGACAAAGCAGCAGAAAGGGGGAAAGAGGAGGAGGTAGAGTGAGGGAAAGAAGAAGTGGCAGATAGGGGTTTAGACCAAAAATAGTTGGAGGAGGCGAGTAGAGAACATCTTTTTGCAGAGAGTGGACCATGCGAGATGCATGTTGGGGAAAAGGAAATAGAAACACACACTCACACACACACACACAAATGTGCTCCACATAGCAGCAAATGAAAGCAAAAACAACTAGATGGATGCAGTAGAGGGACAGTAAAATAATGTGACATCATTTTAATGCTCAGTAATTAAAGATTCTTGAATAGCTTATTGGAGGTTTGGAGGTGTCTGCCAAGACACAGCTGGGCTGCTCTCAGTATTACGATCCACGTTCTGGGAAAAATCCTTCACTCCCAACCAGACCATCCCACCAGCAGGGGGCACTATTGACTGTGATGGCTGTGGTGAATCTTGATCCCCCCTCCCCCATTTTCTGCGGGTTTATATTTTGGGAGAGTTCTGTTTATAACTCAGAGCAGAGTTCAGATGTCCCCCCCCCGAGACCAGAACTGCGACATTCCCATAGCATTCCCAGAGAAGGAAAGGGGATTAAAAAGACATCAGCTCAGTCACATGGTATTAATGGTGATGTCTGATGTTAGAAAGTAAACGGCATGTTCACATTTCACATGGAAAACACCTGAGAGGACAGCTTACACTTCACAATCAGCTATTTGCTGAGTTGATGTTTACACTCCATACCACTAAACAAACAATAGCTGTTGTATTTTAAAAAATGTTTTCAAGTCAACATAATAATTACTCCTACAGTGACAGCACTAATTAATCGAACAATGATTATTGATAATTCAGTTGTGTCATGATCTGCTCTGCAGTGACATCATAATTAAATGTGCAGGAACAAAACTCAAGAAGAATCCAGGTCGCAAGCAGTACAACATGAAATAAAAACATGTTGCAGTGGCAACATGCTGAGCAGTGAGTCTGAGTACCTACCTCTGGTTATACTTTAGTTACACTACGGGGGCTGTAGAGCGGGCCTGGGGGTGGGATGGAAAATGAATATTAATCTCAGGGGTGGAGGGAGAGGCAAGGCAAAATTGCCGGACAAATGCAAATATTGACCTTGACTTGGTATTTAAAACATATTAAGATTTTAATTTGCTTTACTGTCTGATTTAATAGCAAAGTAGTACTGTCCATTACAAATAAACACTGCTCAGATTGTCTCCCCTGAAGAATATTCTGAAGTCTTTGTCTTCAGGTGAGTCCAAGGCTTCCCGTCCCTGGATGTTTTCAGATTAGCTATGCATTCGGTATAGCAGCTGCCCAGGTCAATATTTGCAAACAAATTTTAATTTGTCCTTTCATGAGACTGAACCAGTGCAGTATGCACATACAGAGATATATCTGTAGAGATCAGATATATTGCATCTATGTGCATGACACAGATTGAAAGACAGAGAAAAAACAGGCGGCAGGGTGACTGTAACAGACTGACACTGAAAGAAAGACAGAAAACAAACAGACGGCAGAGTGACTGTAACAGACTGAGACTGAGAGACAGAGAATAAACAGGTAGCAGAGTGACTGATAGATTGAGTCTGAGAGACAGAGAACACACAGGTGAAAGAGTGACTGTGACAGACTGAGACAGAACAATCAGGCGGCAGAGCAACTACAATAGGCTGAGACTGAGAGGGAGAGAACCAACAGGTGGCATACCGACTGTGACAGACTGTGGCAGGGAAAAGACAGGCAGAAGGTGATAGACTGAGACTGAGAGACAGAGAACAAACAGGCGTCAGAGTGACTGTGACAGGCTGAGAGACAGAGAACAAACAGGTGGCGATGTGACTGTGACAGGCTGAGACTGAAAGACAGAGAACAAACAGGTGGCAGAGTGACTGACAGGCTGAGACTGAGAGACAGAGAACAAATGGCAGCAGAGTGACTGTGACAGACTGAGAGACAGAACAAATAGGCGGCAGAGTGATTGTGACAGACTGAGAGACAGAACAAATAGGCGGCAGAGTGATTGTGACAGACTGAGAGACAGAACAAACAGGCGGCAGAGTGATTGTGACAGACTGAAACTGGGTGACAGAGAACAAACAGGCGGCAGAGTGACTGTGACAAACTGAGACTGGGAGACAGAGAACAAACAGGCGACAAAGTGACTGTGACAGACAGACTGGGTGACAGAGAACAAACAGGCATCATAGCAACTGTGACAGACTGAGACAGAACAATCAGGCAGCAGAGCGACTGTGACAGACAGACTGAGAGACAGAGAACAAACAGGTGGCATAGTGACTGTGACAGACTGAGACTGGGAGACAGAGAACAAATAGGCAACAAAGTGACTGTGACAAACTGAGAAACAGAGAACAAAGAGGTGGCACAGTGACTGACAGACTGAGACTGAGAGACAAAGAATGAACAGGTGGCAAAGCACCTGACAGACTGAGACAGAGAAAAAATAGGTAGCAGAATGACTGCGAGAGACTGAGACAGAGAGACACTGCACAAACAGGCAGCATAGCAACTGTGACAGACTGAGGAAAAAATGAAACAAAAAGGTGGGAGACACAGAGACTATGACACACTTGGCACACTGCATATGAAATGTTGTTTTATACCATATGAACCTAGGCACATTCATACATTCAGAAAAAAATGCAACAAACCACATAACTGGAAATGGAGAGATTATTATACAGGATTTTTCTGGGAATGAGAGGAAGCAGAGACTAAAAGAAAGAGGGACAAGACCTGAGGTCTGAAATGGAGAAGCGTGTGGTTGTGACGGACACAGCTTAGAGATACCGAGACCGATGCTTTTCATTCCCCTGATGCCCATGCTCCCAGCATGGAATGGGACTAACAGCATGACTTGAACCCTGAAAGAAATGTGTCCTGTTGAGCAGCTCACTTACTCAGTGTGTTAGCAGAGAGGGACAGATCAAGGCAGTGCTTCATGTTATTCAAATAGCAAGAAGAAACCAGAGCAGGGGGATTAGGGGAGCGCGGCTGGCCCGGGTCCCAGGAGGAGACAGCACAGACGGCAACGTGAATGAAGAATAGGCCCTGAAGCTCCAATTAAGGTCCTGAAAGGTAACTCATCTGCATGTGTGCAGCTTCTGTGCCATGTAAAGTATAAGCACTATAAGCCATCACTGCAGGACAGGGACACACCCTTATGCATACCTTTATTTAATTACCTTATACATTCTTCAGAATACTAGACCCAAGAAGCTTTCTTTCAGATTTTTTGTTTTTAATTTGGGGTACGACAAAGTGTCAAATTAGACTTAAAATATTAGGAAAACCAAAAACAACAACAGCAATAATCATCAACACATTATGGTGTCATTTTAGGTGCAGTGCATCATGGGAATATGATGGTACGGCTATAAATACCTTTTTCACTAATCTCTTCATTGACATACTTTATTTAACCTAAATTCAAATTCAATAACAACGGATATCAGTTAAACTGTTAATATCTCTTTCCCACAAGCCTTTGCTCACAAATCCCAGAATGCTCTCTTCCACGGATTCCTTGACAACAACGGGAAGTAATGAGGACAGGAGAGAGAAATGGGGGAGGGGGGAGGGGGGGGGCCACGGACGGAACTCTGAGGCGAGAAAAGGGGACATTTTGTTTCAATGACAGACACAGACAGATTCATGGAAAGAGAGATCAAGAACGAGCTAAAGTGAGCACAGAACGACCCACCGCAAGAC